GACTCGAAAAGATTCGCCTTCACCAATTCGTACCTCCTCCTGTTCGATTTCATCGAATTTGCATCGATGCAGACCAAGACGCTGAACTATTTGGAGGACATCATCAAGACTTTGAACGACCATCGATGGAGCTGCACTGAGCGAAAGGCCTTCAACTGTGGTTACTCGGGTCTTTGACATTCTAGTATTCCAGCTGAGTGCGCTTAGACAACTCACTGTCTGTATGAAAAATGTGTCAGTCAAGCACTGTTTTAGTATCCATTTTGACTTTTAGAGTCACTTTCCTCCATTGTCTCCATTTCTATCCAGCACCCCGTGACCCCACAGCCTTGCGCTCAAAGACTGTCGTGAAAACAAGCACTCTAGTCGTCGGCAACGTGAGGGAAGGAGAGCCGCGGTTTATAATAAAGATATCGCGCATCAAACGTTTATTGGGTATATGAAAATTGGGTAGACAAGGGAGGGGTAGAAATCATGGAGTTCAAGAATGGGTAGAAAAGCTCAGGCTGGTTTCATGAGGGTATGTTGGGGGCTGAGCTTCGCCTGCATGAAGGCTGCGCTACGTGGCTTTCTCTAAGCGCCCTGCCATCAGACCACTTGGATATCCTTCATCGACTTCAAATCAATGAACCTTTGAGGAGAAGTTGTGAAACACTCATCCAATTCCATTTCGGTATCTCGATAACATCTACCCCCTCAGCTACTGTTTGCTTTGGCCAAGATGGTTGACCCTCTCAGCCTCGCTGGCCTCACTCCAGTGTGGTCCACAATATGAAGAAATATATATTGGGTAATATAGAATCTCGAGTTATTATCGCGATATAAAGCTATTCATATCGTATTTGATATAATATAGGACTGCCATATCATATTTATTAGGTAATATATTGCCAATATAACGATATAAACGTTGAAAAGTGCTTAATTTAGCTAATAATTATTAAATCGATCTTATCGTCGCTTTTTCGCTTTAAAAGTTTTTTTACTATATTTTTTATATTTTTAATATCGTCGTCGAGAGCTTTTGTAATATTTAATCACGATTTTAAACACTTTATAGTTTAAATAATTTTAATTTTAAAACGATCCCGACGATTAAAAATAGTAATTTTAATGCTAAAAAAGATTTTCGAGCTTTTAATCTTTTTTTTACTTAATATAAATAATATGAAAAATATGCTAATTTCATTTAATATTGGCAATATGAAGCTGGATCATATTATATTTATTACGATATGATTTCGTTATATTATATTTATTTATTATAATAGATAAAATATATTGCTATATTATAGCCCACACTGCCTCACTCTCGCCATCTTCGACGAGCTACTCAAGCTGGCAGAAAAGACGGCTGAGATTGTGCAAGAAATTCGCAATTTTGATGAAGTGGATAATTCCCTTATGGAGATTGAAATTCATTATCGATAGGCCTCCACAGAGCTGCATGACAAGATCATGGAAGAAGGAAATAAGACGTCATTACTCAGTCTACTATTATTCGAGAAGGCTGCCGTAAGGATTCGAAATCTACTGTTATATTCTTGTCAACTAAAATTGTTAGATCTACCATGGCGAGACATTGTTCGAACAATTCGAGGAGGACGTCCAAGTGCAGATAAAACTCCTCCTTCATCAATTGAAAGCCATCTTACTTGAAGGATTCGATCTTGTGCATCGGCGATACGGTTCATCGAGCTCCGTGGAAAAACTTCGAAAATCTACATCACAGACCGCATCGCTCTCTGGCCCGTTATCTCCCAAACAGAGCTCTCCAGCCTCACCTAATTCCCCTTCGTCGGCATCACTTACAAATGCACGTAAAGGCTCTGCGTCTCCCCTTCTACTACTTCGGTGGTCCTTCCGCGACAAGAAGCGTGTAGAGATGATCGTCCTAAATTTTAGAGATATGAATACTAGAATTCATGATCAGGTCAAGTTATGGTGCTTGGCGTCACAGCTCGGAGTCGACCTGCAGCACCTGAAGCATCTTCAAAGCGACAAAAATTCTAAAGCATTGGGATTTGACATTGATGCGACACTGAAGCTGACCGTGTGGGATATTGAAAGTCTACCTGATACCTTGGAACTGGAAGACGCTTCATGGAAGGAGCTACTTCCGCATGTGACTAAACTCAATGAACGATTTTTGACGTCTGAAAGCTCCGGAAGAACGCTGCTTCTAGAGAGATTTCCTTACGACAATGACACTATATTTCCAGCTTCAGATATGGTAGGTCCGGCTGTGGACAATTACAAAATCGACACAAGGGCACGAAGTCGAGTTGATGATGCCCTTGCAAAGCTACTGCACTAGCCGAAGGAGCTTGTGTTCAGGATTCCGCGATGTGTTGGGTGGGAATACACCAAAGCTCAGAGCTCTATCGCGTTTGTTTTTGACGTCGAAAGACATCTGGAAAGCCTTCCGATTGATCTCTTGTCGCTTCTGAGTGATAGTAATCTCAAACCATCGCTGGGGGATAAGTTTCGTTTGGCTCATGGCCTGGCAAATTGTATTTCGCAGCTACACATGGTGCAATGGGTAATGCCAATTCTCTCCTGTGTGAATCTCCACTAACATTCAGCAGCTGCATGAAAGCTTCCGCAGTGAGAACGTGCTTTTCTTCCCAACCCGGACACAGGGTGCAGGAAATAGTCGTGGAATCGTTAACTTTAGCCAGCCCTGGGTGCTTGGATTCGAGTTCAGTCGTCCAGAGAACTTCTTTTCTGCAGGACCAGCAGACTTTTGCGCAGCCCGTCTACCGACACCCAGACCGGCAAGGCATGCCTGAGGCTCGTTTCAATAAGTTACATGACATATACGCTCTCGGTGTTGTGCTGTTAGAGATAGGTACGTCATCTCAAATCAACTAAATAATTGTAGATGCAACTAGTAACAAGCTCCAAGGACTTTGGGAGCCTGCTTTGACTCTGGAAAAGAATAAGTTCGGACACACCAAGAACTCGAAAGCTGTCCGAGACCAGCTTCGGAAACACGCCGAAAGTCGACTTGCATCGCGCGTTGGAGACAGGTACAAGAAGGTAGTTCTCAGATGCCTCTCTAGTCATTTCGATGTGGTGGATGATACGAGGGAAGACTTGAAACTTCAACAAGCATTTCGGAGTAACGTTGTTGATATTCTGGAAGCAGCAGCGCAGAATGTATGATCTTCGATCTCTCAGGATGCTTGTCTAGGGAAATAAAAGCAGAACATGAATTCAGAGGGATGATGAGGATGAGAAGATCCAGCCGTGCAATGAGACGGGAGAGAGGTAGCAATCCGAAGAACATATCCATTCCATCAACTGCCATTGATACACGCAATATTCGTCAACCTCCTACATTCACAAATTGACTATTGACTAGTTTACCATCATATCCACGAACATACCTCATCACCTCATCAATGTCCCCCGTCAACCCTCGCCTTTCACAGCAATCGAATCAAAACAGATCCCTTAACTGCTTATAAAGTTCCTCATCCCCACCAAAAACATTACTCCCAATCCCTGCCAACGCATCCCCATCCTGAATCTGCACATATCCTCCCCCATTCCCATTTGCCCCACTTCCATTCGTACCATTAATACCGACACTCCCCAACGCAGCCTCAAAAAGACTAGTCATCTCACAACTCATCTGAAACCCATTCATCGGACTATTCCCATTTGTAACCCCCGTCCCACTTCCATCCCCACCCACAAACCCATTAATCCCCATGCCCGAGATCTCGTGTCCGGCCAGACCAGCCATTGCAAGCGCAGCGTTGGAATGTGGATCTTCGGCGCTGAGTTGGGCATGTGTGTGGATATCCGGATTCAAACCTAGCTTTGGTCCCACCTCTTTCAATCCCTTTATCGTCTTCCAGAGCCTCTTCGAGACAAATGATTTTGTGGAAAAACCTTTGACTAGGTCGAGTGCCATGTAGAATTCATCTCTGCAGAGAGCGGAGAAATGGACCGGTGCGTGGCAAGAGGCGAGGAAGATGACTGCCAGGGCTGAGATGAGGAAGTAGTTGAAGCACACCTGCTGCGCGCGGTAGATATCGCTCGTCTGGTTGAGATGTGTCAACGCTCTTATCGTATCTTTGGCCAACTCGACGACTGTGGCGGCGTAGCTTGGATTCTCTTGTATGGAGGATGCGGAGTGGAGGACAGGTCGGTAGATCAGGATTCGCATTTGATTTGCTCGAAGGTAGAGGAGGATTTGTAGACGGTGAATTGCACGAGAGGAGGCGGGTGGCGAAGAAGCAGTGGGCAATTGAAGTTCGGAAGGGATGGATTTCTGCCATTGGAGGATTTGGTAATCGAGGTAGCCAATGTCTTCGATGTTGAGGGTTGGGGAGGGAGTCGGGGAGAAGGAGCAAACGGACTTCCAGACTTTGGAACCAATGCGAGAGTATGCGATCATTGCGTTGAGATATGGGATTGGAAGTTCCTGGGCATGTTAGCAGATGTTGACAAGGGCCGGGTTCGGACATACGGGTTCGGGAAGGCTGGGATCGATGTCAGAATCTTGCAGTGCGAATGGCATGCCAGTTCCAAAGCTCCATCTTCGATCTAGGACGTAGATAGACCAGAACAGCTTGATGGCGTCAGAACGTTCTTCCTCATCAGTAACCACTTTGAAGAGGGAGTCACGTCTGTGAAGACCGAGTTCGATGCACATTCGAGCTACCTGCCCAATGATACGCCAAGCCAAAGCTTCCTCATCGCAGTGGAAATGGTAGATAGCCTACAGAGACCCGTTAGCTGTCTGTCCAAGGGTGTGTGCATGTCATATACGCAAAGATGCAGTGTTAATGCAAAGTTAAAGCGAACTGGGATGAACATTGCAGCAAGCTTTGTCGATAGAAGGGCGACATAACGAGCTAACATAATTGCACCGTTTCTAATGCAGGCGGCTAGCCGAAGTCTAGCCCGGGAGGCTGGTTTCCCCACAAACATAAAGAGATTATATATATTCAAATAAGCAGATTTCATGTCATCAATTCAACACAGGTCTCTTGGTGCAATGGTAGCACGCTCTGATCCCTGTGGCATAGTAATCTAAGTTCGAGTCCTGGAGAGATCACTCATAACATCATGGGAGCGAGAAGCAATTCTAGTTTTCCATGATGCTACTTTGCTTTTGTTTTTCCCCTTCAATCTTGGCACATTTTCGTGATAATCTTGCCAACTCAGACGAGGGCGTGAAGCGTATTTCGAGTCTTACAGAAGCTGCTACTATGCTTTTCGGAAGTAATCTAGAACAACTAAAGGTATTCTTTGCATTGCGTAGAATGCTCATAGATTCAATTACTTTTTGTATCCCTCAATAGCCTAAGCAGGCATAGCAATCAAAACGGCACCACTCTTAGAGCAGGCGACTAGCCGATGTCTAGCGCGGTAGCCCCTCTCCCACAAAGAGAAAAGTGAAGAGTATAGATTAAATAAGCAGATCTCAATCTAAAACAATCAAACAAAGGCCTCTTGGTGTAATGGTAAACATTCGTGGTGCCGTCATCCATAAGCACAAACGAGCTCTAGGTTCGAGCCCTAGAGAGGCTTTTTACAGGGGAGCTCCGGGTGGTGGTAACACAACTCTAAGCTGCCCCAATTTTTTAGCCCTTATAATTTTTTGAAACTTCTCCTTGCATCGTGTACTTGAAGGAAAATGAAATGCGATGCATTAAAAGAAGTCTATGACATCGCGAAAGCGCGGCAAGAAAGTCTAGTGACCTTCGCGCGGTCTTCTCTTTTCAAGTGGGGCTAGCAAGCGAACCAAGGTCCGTATAAATTTAAATAAGTATAATTTTCCCATTAAACAAAAAAAAAGGTCTCTTGGTGTAAATAGTAACACATGTTTGTCACATTGCTGACTAACAAGATCGAGGTGCAAGTCCTTGAGAGATCACTCGGCCGACTGTCTGACAGAACCCTCGGGGTCTGTCAGAGAGTTGGCTTAACTCTTTTTTTGGGGGGCCCCTTTTTGAAAGCACAATTTTTGGGTGCTGTAACACCGGAGATGCAGGACTTGCAGCGAGGCTACGGAGCAAAGGTGATGTAGTGGCAATGAAGCGAGCAAGGGAATCGAGCGGGCTTGAGGTGTGCACTACCGCAGGGCCAACAGGCTTCCCCTCAATCAAGAGTCTAATTCTAGGTACTAAAAGCTTCATAGGAAATTTTCTTAAGCGATGTACCCGAAAACAAAAAATCCTGGCAAATCAGTGCTTGTCTTGTATCGGGCACAGACTTTTTGTGTGGGGTATCAAAACCACACCGTTTCCCAATGCAGGCGTCTAACCGAAGTTTTGACCCCTTAAAATTGAGGGAAAATCAACAACGAATCAACATGTAGCTTATTTCAAAGACAAAAACATCATTGCAAGGCAGTTGGATTTCATCCACTTGGAGTGGTCATCCCATTGTGGTACTGACCATGGACGCTCCAGGTCTGGCAACTTCTCTCCAGCAACCAAGCCGCATGCCGCAAAAAGGCTTTCACACGAACACAACAGCAACGAAGTATTTCAGCAATCAGAGAGATAAAGACGCATCGGAAAACTTCGGACTTACCACAAGGGACAAGAAGGGCAGGCTTTTGACCTCGATCACCTCACTATGCAGAGTCCTATCTGCTGCTTCCCGCACGCTCTCAAAGAGCCTGTACCCAATCTCACTTTGACCGTTGCCTTCCACAACATTGGCAATAGCAAGTACCATTTTCAGGACTAGAGATTGCTCGTCGCGGACTCCTTTCGGGGATGCGGGGTTGGCAAGGCCAGCCCGCAGAGCTGCATCAACGAAGTCGTATAGATTTGTCCCGTGGGTGATGAGTTGCTCGATGTTGACCACAGGGTACATGATACCCATCTCTTCTTCATATACTTTGCACAGCCGAACGGTTTCTTCTTTGCTCAGTGCCCATATAGGATCTCTAGCAGGGCCTCCAGCTGATATTATAGTTGGCGCAATGGCGGGTGGAGAGCCAATTGGGGTGGCATCTTGCGTAGTCATGCCCTCATCAACTCCCAAGCCTTGATACCCCATGTTATGCAATGTATTTTTGGCAACATCGAGGCTGAAGGCAGAGCTCGTTGGACCTCGGAAAGAAGGATGCTTTGGTGTAGGTCGGAATCTACTTAGTGGCGAGATTGGCGGAGGTTGAGAGACTGACATCGATCGCTCTGAAGCCTGTGGGAAGGACATACTGTCTCCACTCGCCTTCAATGCGTTGAGATTGGCATATAGGTTATCGACTTGTTCCTGCAGCGCGGTGAGGTGTGCATTCATCTGCCGGAACTCTTCGGACTCCTTGAAGCCATTCGTGCAGCAATTCGGCGCGTACTGGCATTCGAGATTGAGGTTTCCACATCTTTGGCAGGGTGTATTTCCATTGCATTTGATCTTGCGCCGCTTGCATTCGTTGCTAGAAGCAAAAGTTAGCAGTGAACAGCATGGTCGCAATGCGCGAGGCGGTGTTGATTAAGCCCAACATGAAGCTGCACAATGGTACATACCACGCAATGGAGATGTATCTATTCCTCTTCGCCCTCGTATGTGTGGTTCCATTCGCATTCGTCGTCGACTCGTCGTCGTTCTTCCTCTTCTTTCCGCTTCCAGCTGCTGTTTCCGCAGGGCTTTCCGCACACGAGGACTGTCGCTGGTCATTCATACTGGCTTGCAGTGGCGCCGGCGTCATGGTGGAAATGGGTGAGTCGGCGAGGTAGGTTAGGTCGGTGACTTGGTCTTCAAGGATGTTCATAGTCACATAAATTTAGAGTTTATTCTTATGAAGCGTTTGAGAGCATACAATTACAGTTCTGCAACGCCTTCAAATTCCCGGATTGCGGGGTTGGCTCTAGTCCATCGGCTAACGATATTGGGGAAGGCGCATGGAGATCCTAGGGAAGAAGAACCTCTCGTTGTCGCGATGTTTACAATCATCACCATCCAGCCCCGCGAGGACAAGAAAGAGCTGCAGATGTGAACTGCACGAAATTTTCTATACGATACCTGCCCCGTCTGCCAGCGCCCCAGGTCCGCACGCACCTTCCCGTATTGCGCAACCCTCTTCCATGCAAAGCAGTCCACTCCTTCTTTGGCCCAGTACCCCTCAACAAAGCAAAAGTACATACTTCAAAAACTCTTCATCCTCTTCCAAGAGCTCCAGATCCTCGTCGAGCAAGTTCAAAGCGAATTCCCCTCCATCAGACATCCTCCTAGGGAGCACAAACCCAACGATTGAGCAGCCCCATCAACGACCTTGCTCCCTCCGGCGTCCCCTTATTACTGAAGATGCAATCACTGAAGCTCGTATCATAGATTGGGAGCATCAACATGGACGATACCGACATAGCAGATCCGCCATAGGACAAAAAGTCAAGCTACCATAATCCGGCACGCTTCTTGCTACGGTGTACGCGTCCAAGAGCCCAGCGGTTGAGATATAATTGGCACTCTCACGAATAGCCTGAGCAGTGGTAGAGATGCTGCAGTGCTGGGCGACGAGTTGCGAGAGCGGCATACTGAATGATGGAGCATGGGGAGGCTGCCTAGATAACTCAACGGGACAGATTAGCCAAAGTGAGTCTCGCATCAAAAGTCATACCAAGTGAGCTACGACCTCCTCGCCATCCCTCTCATTGGTTTTGGCAGACACATGAACAGCTGCTGTTCTGACTTTCAGCAAAAAGCGCCACATCAGAGCACAGATGGAATGTTCAACGACGTCCCAGGGCCAGATTCCTCAGCACAATCTTTCTGTAGCAAGGCGAGGTTTCCTGGCGATATCTAGAAAATGGGTGTACTTCAACACTCGTTCGGCTTGTATCGCTGCTGTGGGCTCGCGAAGCGCTTCCGGCTCGTTCTGCTCAGATGGCTTCATATCAGAAGGGTCGACACTAAACAATATCTATGTGTTAAGGTCGATGTTGTTGACGGACTTTTCCTTTGCTTGGCCCATATCTTCTCTAGCGGAGTGCGATCAGAACTTTCTAGTACTGGCGAGTCTGGTGACTACGAGCTTTCCGACTACAAGGCACTACAATGATCTGTCCAGAGTTTGAGAATTGTGTACAGAACTGTGCCATCAGATGCTGGGTGATGCACGGAGGCAGCAAGAACGCAACCACCTCGGAGGACCCGAGAGGAAATCGGCTTGAGGTATGAAGACATTGGGTCCATCATCGATATCAGGAAAGAAAGGGAACCAAGTCAAAGCTTCATCAGCAAAAGCGTCAGTATGGAACCCCGACTCCCTGAGCTCATCGTAGCCAACAATGAATCCAGTTCATTGAGTTTGAGTTAGTGTAGCCGTTAGTCGTCGAGGTTGTGCACACCATGGCGGATTTCGCGTTGCCCTAGCAGCCAGCCTGGAGCATCGGAAGCTTGTGACCACACTCTACCATTCAGCCAGTATAGTCTCCCAATAAAGCGTGGTCCTACGGAGCGAGCGGGGTGTAACTGTCATCGGCGTCAATCATTGTTGCCATTCAGTAGAAATCTTGTCTTTACCTTTTTTTCGTTTGCTTTTCCAAACCGTTTTGCTTGATTGAAGGCCCGTTGAGTAGAGCCTGTTGCGGCTACCACAGGAGAGCCTCGCTTGCTTGATCATGATACAAAGTCCATGGTACGCCCACTACGCACGCTACAATGACCCCGATGCAGGAGCAAGGAAGCTCTGCACCATGCGTACAGCGCTCATTCCACGAGTCGAAGACGGTCCCGGGGTCCGGATCTGCATTCTCGTGGCGGTGCTTCGGATAGGCGCTGTGCCTCTCTGTTCTATACTGCATATCAATATTACGGAATGATGAATCAGTCTATACTTCAGCAGGCCAAGAATGGCTTCAAACGGGTATTGCGTGCATTGCATGCGGCTCAGCTAGTTAACAAGTCGCTGCGAAGAGATGGGACCTTTGTTCGTTGGTGGTGTCTGATGACAATTATTACCGGAATCTAGATCCGTGACGAAAGAAAGTTCTTTTCGCGTCGTACAGAAAACGATCGACAGAATGGAGTGGTTCGCAGTTGTCCTGACTATCTTGCAAGAGGCACAGTGAAGGATAGGAGCATGGAGGTTGCGATAAGCACTAATGGCGTAAGACTCCTAGTGCGAACTGTCTCACGATCAAGCGTGAGATAGAACAATCCACCGAGAAGACTCTGCATCCGTAAGTCATGGATGCGGATGAGAAACCCACTGATTATTTGCTCCCATCGAACGAAGAAGACAGGGAGGACCCACCGAGACCAACACCAAGACGCCGAGGAACATAGCTTCTCCCACTGGCCTGTCTACTATGTGGACTACTTCCATATTTCCTAGTATGGCTGGTCATGTCACAAAGTTCGCGAGGCTGTGGGGGGATCGAGAGGCTCTACCAAACACCGGTACCAGATTGTAGGTCATCTCCTATCTCAACAAAATCCTACCAACAAACCTAACGTGTGTTGCAGTTCCAACAGAAATGCGAACACTCGAATGGAATTATACCTTCGCCGGCCTACGCACTCCGGAAAGCGAACGCGCGTGGAGATCTCTCCTTCCAGTACATTGCCCCTCC